CTCCAATCGACCAACTTCTTCTTATGGCACCCCTCATCCCAAAAGAAGAAGAATTTGCTCTCCAATGGTTGGGAGCAAGCTCCATAGAAGAAGCCCTTTCCCAGGAACTCATTGAGAATGTCTACAACCAAAAATTAGACCAACTCAAAAGAAATCGAAGAAAAAGAAAACTGGATGAAGGAGAATCATCTAGGAGACAAAACTAATCTAGGTTTGAGCTGCTGCCAAAAAGGGGGAAAATAGAATCTAGCTTATCTTTGTTTTATGTATTCAGAATCTAGTTTTTGTTTTGGCATCATCAAAAAGGGGGAAATTGTTAGGCCTATCAGGGACTTTGATGAAATATAGTTTTGATGATGCCATCCTCCCTTGATGTTTAAATTCTCAATATTTAATGATCATTGTGTGAACTGAAGTATGGTCCAAAAAGGAAGGAAGGTGACAAAATTAGGAATTTATAAATTGTGTCACAAAATAAATATACTGGAAATATAAAATGCAATAAGGTAAAATTCCTACCTTTCCAGGATATTCAAATCCAATCAGTATATTTATTTTTGGGTTACAATTTATTTATTGTCACTAGTAAAACTGTGACTAATCTTTCATGTACATCTTATGTACAAAATTAATTTTACTGGAAATATAAAACGCAATAAGGTAAATTCTTCTTTACCTTAAAGAGGATATTTAAATCCTACCAGTACAAATTAATTTTGTACACAAGAACCAGAGTCACAATTTTACTTGAAGAGCTGTATAATCACGAGACACTCCAGAGTTGCCTGTGAAGACAAAATCCCACTAGACGGTGAATAGTGCGTAAAAGAACCAAGGAATGGGTTTACATTTCCTGCAAAGCAAGTTGCTCCAATTGCGTCTGAAGATAAGCTGCTCCAACACAAGAAGACGAAAGTACAAAAAGCCTCAACGACATAGATTAAATCCTCTTAACCAACGGAGGAGATTAATCTACCAGAGATGCCTATAAATTCGGGCATAAGCATGAGAAGAAAAAGAAGCTCCTGAGTTTACTAAGCAGAGAAATCATACTACACAAAGAAGATATCCAGCAAAAGAGAAAGTGTTCATTAAATTCTGCTCTCTGCTTAGACTCATGCTTCACTAAACCTTCTAGAATAGAATTCCTCATTAATACACTCAGAAAGTTTAGTTTTTAGTTGGAGGCTAGAAATTTGTTTCATATTGAAACTGTTGTAAACACTTATAAGGATAGCGTCATCTAAGTCCTTAAGTGTGGTAGAATAGGATAGAGTACCTTTTGATCCCCACTGGATCAATTGAGAAAAACCTAAAGGATTGAGTAGCTAGGAGTGGTGTGTACTCTCAGTGAAACATCTTGAAGTCTGAGCAAGTTGGTGATAACAGCCAGACGGTCACTAATTGTATTGGGCTGAATACTTTAGTGGAAATCCATCTGAAAGAGGATGGGACTGGATGTAGGAGGATTACACCACCTCTGAACCAGGATACATCTCGTGTCAATCTTATTTACTCTGTTTCAAGATCATCAGAGGACCTCACACAAGAGTCTCTGATTCAAGGTCATCAGAGGACCTCACACAAGAGTCTCTGATTCAAGATCATCAGAGGACCTCACACAAGAGTCTCTGATTCAAGATCATCAGAGGACCTCACACAAGGGTCTCTGATTCAAATTCATCAGAGGACCTCATACAAGGGTCTCTGACTCTAAATCATCAGAGGACCTCACTCAAGGGTCTCTGACTCAAGGTTACCAGAGGACCTCACTCAAGGATCTCTGATTCAAGGCCGTCAGAGGATCTCAATGAAAGATCTTCAAAGCAGAAGTCTCCATTCTCCTATTCACTTCAGTCACTAAAGATAAGTTGTCCTAAATACAAATACCCCTTCCCTCTTATCCTCTCATAAGAAAGTTACCATTCACAGTCAAAAAGAGGTCATAACTTCCGCTGCTATCCTAAAATCTCTCAAAAGATTTTAGATCATCATACCTATGAGGGAAACTCTATAAGAATAGCAAAGATCTTTAAAAGTCTATTCACCCCCCCCCCCTCTAGACTTTTACCTCTATCAGGGACCATCACTTAATCTTAAGATTTGTTTCATTCTCAACAGCAGCTTTGAACTTCTTAAAAGTGTTAAAGACATCGGATTTATTCTTAAGAAAATAAACCCATACCTTCCGTGTAGAGTCATCAATGAATGTAACATAGTACCGGGAACCTCCAATCGAAGAGACCTTTGTCGGTCCGTAGACATCTGAATGAATCAACTCCAGCCGCTCAATCTTGGGTTGCTGCCCTGTCTTCACAAAGGTTACCCTCTTTTGTTTGCCTAGAACACATGGCTCACAAAAGCTCAACTTTGAATTCTTCAAATCTGGGATTTTGCCCTTTGAAGACAGCATCTTCATTCCGTTCTCACTTATGTGCCCAAGTCTTTGGTGCCACAAAGTAGAGACCCCTGTATCTTCAACTGCTGCGTTTGCCCCATCTGTGGACACTTCAACCATGTACAGTGTACCATGCTTCTGCCCACGAGCAATGACCAGCTTTCCCTTTGTCACCTTCCATTGCTTGTTGCCAAAACTAACGTTATGGCCTTCCTCATCAAGCTGTCCAACTGAGATCAACATCTTCTTCAGGTCTGGAATATACCTCACATCTTTCAGCCTCCAGGTTGTACCCAAAGAGGTACTGAGATCAACATCTCCAATACCCGTGATCTCCAGGGATTTGTCATCTGCCAAACGAACTCTTCCGCTGTAGGGTCTGAAATTTTTCATCAAATCCCTGCAATGACAAGCATGAAACGACGCACCTGAATCCATGATCCAGGACTCAACTGAATTCTCAACGCTGCAAATTAGAACATCTTCATAGTCCTCTGCCACGTTCACCTCCTTCTTGCCTTTGTCTGCAGGGGGTTTTGGGCACTGATTTCTAAAGTGTCCATTCTCTTTGCAATTCCAACAATTGATGTCCTTCCGGTTCTTGGATTGCCCTCTCTTTCTCGACTTCGATCTTCCCTTCTTGTTACCTCCTCTAGTGGATTTTTTGCCCCTATCTTCAGTACTCAACAAACTGTTGGAGCTATCCCCCGAACTCCTCCTCCGGATATCCTCACCAAGGATTAAGTCACGAATACCTTCAAAGGTAAGCTTAGTGGTTCCAGATGAACTACTAACCGCTGTGACTGTACCGGACCAACTATCGGGCAAAGATGATAACAAAAGTAACGCTTGGACTTCATCATCGAATTTAATCTCAACCGAGCCTAACCTGGATATGATTGAATTAAACTCGTTGATGTGATCTGTCACGGATGCACCTTCCTTCATTCTTGTATTCACCAACTGTCTAATCAAGAAAACCTTGTTTGCTGCTGAGGGTTTCTCATACATGTTGGATAACGCCTTGAGCAGTCCATATGTTGTCTTCTCGTTAACGATGTTGTAGGCAACGTTCTTCGCCAACGACAACCTCACCACACCAAGAGCCTGTCGATCCAACAAATTCCATTCCGCTTCCGTCATCGTTTCTGGTTTGTTCTCAGACAACGGTTGATGAAGCTTTTTCTGGTAGAGATAATCCTCGATCTGCATCTTCCAGAAAGCGAAATCTTGACCATCAAATTTATCGATCTTAACCTTCCCTTCGTCAGTCATAGCTCTGATACCAATTGTTACGATTAGGCAAAGATAAACGATAAATTAAGAGCAAGAACACAAGAATTAACGTGGTTCACGCAATCGGGGTGATTACGCTAGTCCACGGCGAACGAGAGAGAGTATATTTTATTATCAGCGTCCCAAGAGGTTTACAAGTACATAAGAGTCGTTTTAAATAGGTTTAGGAAAACCTAAACTGAGATTAGAGCCGCAGGCCCAAAATTAAGCCTGTTTTTAAAATTCCCGTCGACTGACCCGGTCGGGTCTCTTATTTGACCCGGTCGGGTCTCCTTCACAGAACATAAACCCGGTAGAAACCAGGTCGGGTTTCCAAAACAGAAGGCTTCTGCCTTGCTGACCCGGTCGGGTCCCTTCCCTGACCCGGTCGGGTCTCACGTCCAGTAAGCTCCCAGATCTCTGCTTCAACATACCCGGTCGGGTCCTTTATCTGACCCGGTCGGGTATCAGTTCTGAAACTTTGAACAAGGCTCCATCTTCAACAGTACACACTTTTCATACACACTTATACACACTCCTGTCTGTGAAGAGTTATTTTTTGTCTATATACAGGCATAACGTATTTGCGAATACGTTATGTTTAAGTGTGTATGAAAAGTGTGTAACAATAGCATTTTTGGTGTCACAAAATTGTCTATTGTCCTCCACGCCCAAATTTATGAATCAAATATTTCTCAATATGTAGTTAATACTCCGTACAAGCTACGGAAACTAATAATAACCAAATTTGCTTTCATTAATGAACGTGTCTAACAAATAAGAAAAAAATAATTCTGCACCTTATATAATATACATATTCATAGCAAAATAGGACATTATCACATTATGTTTATCATATACTCACTCTTAAGAAGTTGAGTCAAGTGATTGCAAGTAAGATAAAACACAATATAACAGTGAGGTCAAAATATAGATTGAGATACTAAATTTAATTCAAAAAAACATCTTAATTTTTTACTAAATTTTTACAGTGATGTAACGTCCAAGCTTTGAAGGGTCCAAATGTTACGTTTTTCCATCTTAAATTTAAAGAAAACTATCAAATAGGCCCATAGTATATAAAAAAAAGTCAATTAGGCCCCAAACTTAAAAAACATCCAATTAGACCCATGAACTAACCGGTTAAATTCCGGTTAACAAGTTATCATGCTGATGTGACAGTCCAGGTGTTATTTCTTAGCTTTTTCATTTTCTTTTTCTCCCCCTTTCCCCCTTTTTCTTCCGCCCCCTCGTTATCTTTTTTTCTTCCTCTCTCCTCCTTCTTTTCTACTTCCACGACATTGGAAGAAGGATAAAGAAAATGATGGTCGGAATAGATTACAATTGAAGAAGAAATTAGGGGGAGAAGGTCTGGGTTGGTGGGAAGAAGAGAGGGAGAAAGAAGAAGACAGTGCAGAGAAAATAAAGGAGGTGGGGCCAAAGAAAAATAGAAACGGGGTGGGCCGGGAATAAGCGAGGCAACAACATTAACTTGTGAAGAACAATATGTGCATGAGATGTTGTTGGGAGAGGTTAATTTGAGGATGTCATCAATCGGTTTCTTGATATTCCATAAACTTGTGTTTTGTCTTCTTGATATGAGGAGATAAGCAGCTAAGGAGTCAACTTCAACCATAAAAGAACTATAATCGTTGTTGCATGCCCAAGACAATGTGACAAAGTTTCCCCGAAGCTCGGATAAGAGAAGAGATTGGCCAGGGGAGTCAGAAGAGAGAGCACAGATAAAGTTACCTCCCCAGTTTCTCAAAACCGCTCCAGTTTTATCATTAGCAGTATGAACATTATATTTAATACGATGCAGTGGTTTGATCCATCGTTCAATTCTGAGCTTGTTGAGCCATTTCGGAATCATATGTTCCTGGAGAAGCAAAACACTAGAAGTCATGTATTTAGTGTCAAGGTGTCACGCCCCGGACCTATCCGGACACGTCAACAACCCGCCGTACAATATGAATAGTCAACCGCAGTCCAACACATTCATAATATACAAGGCGTCTTGAATATCATTCACACATACACATCCATAAACAAACATAATAAGTAATTCGTAACGCAGCGGAAAACATTGTTTAAAACGAAAGGGCCACACAAGGCTATTCATGAGCACGCAGGCTCTACAGTAAAATATCCATGAGCATGTTTATTAATGTTTAAAAACAGAATGGAGGAAGCACGAACCAAGTCTTCCCTCCTATATGATCTCTCGAGCAACGAGCACAAGAAGCAAGCTCTAGCCTCAACCTGAAAAATGGTGGTGGGACGCCCCCGAAGGGGTCAGCACTCTATAGGGCTATAAAGTGCTGGTGTGGCAGGCATCTAATAGATATACAACAAGTATTTCACACACAAGACCCTCAAATAGGGTGATAATATAGTATAGGCCGTAATCCCAGATTACCCCTTTCAAAATACATACTTACTTTATATAAAGTCAAGTAGTCGGCTCAAAGGCCCGTGTTTGTTATAAAACATTTCCCAAACCCCGTGACTAATAGTCACGACAATACATAGGGTCCAACCCTAATATAACTTCTCATTTCTAGAGTTAGGCTCGAGTACATCATCATGCACTCGCATCATAGATCTCCTACTTCATATAATCATACCATAGATCTCCTACTTCATGTATTCACCCCATAGATCTCCTACTTCATACAATCACACCATAGATCTCCTACTTCATACAATCACACCATAGATCTCCTACTCCATGATATCACACTTGACACTTGAATCTCATTCAAGTTCATCACAAACAACTCAAACCTTAAGTTTGATTCTATCAACATTTAGAACAATCCTTAACTAGCATCACGATACTATTAAGATTATTCCTACAACTCATTTATTCTTAATGGTAGCCCCTCCATATCAATAGATATGTGGCAGCCTCCCATGTGCTAAGCATCATCATGTAACTATACATTTACATACACATAACATTCATACATGAGTTGGAAAGGTCATTTTACCATATTAACATACCTTTATCTCACATAACTCCATATTCATCAATATGGTTTCAATTCATGATCAAGTCCATTACTTATCATTCATATCATGTTCAAGCATATTTATTCACAAAAACATGATTTAAGCATTTAGGTAATCTCATGCATAACCTACAAGTTGTAAGCAACTAGATGTCGGTCCTCACCTCAAATGAGCTTTAAAACCTTCCTTCTCGATCCAATGACCAAAGCCTCGGCCAAGGAAGATTGAGAACTGGTTCCTTGCTTGAAAATGGGTGTTAAACAGCTTCCTCAAGTTGCTATTTCAACCCCTAATCGTTGATACGAAAACAGCCCCTAGAACGGGTGTTTTCCGGCTAACTCGATTCCTAGTTTTCCAATATTTGCTTTAGGTTAGTATCTAACCTTTACATCAATAAAATAACTTTTCAAGGACATATTATACACTTGGATTAGTGTACAATAGTCCCACCAATCGTTCATATCATTTGGAAAATGAATGGAAAGGATTTGGGGTTAACAACTCACTTTAGAAGAGTAAATCCGTTTCTGCGAGGTTGTGTTTTGCTCGGACGATTTGGAAGCCTTCCTCTACTCCGATTGATGCAAACCAGACCTTCACGGATTCCTCGTCTTGAGAGCTTTCTTTTGGTATCTCACACTCCTTAATGGGATTGGTAAAACTCGAGATATCAACCAAACAGTCTCAGCACTCTCACAGCTCGAATTCACAGACCACTGCTCGCTTCAGATCGATTTTTGGATGATTACTCACTCCTCTCGAACAGAGACCACTAAATTATGAAAATAGACTTCAAAGGCTATCCAAGGACACCTTATACACCTCATTTGGACGAGTACAACTCTCAAAATGAAGGGAGACAAAACAGCACACCTGTTTGTGCGAAAACAGTGGTGGTGGCCCCAAAATTTGATTCCAATTGTGTCATGGGCAGTGCTTCTCCATGTGGTGCGGCCAAGGTGAGTCTTCTCACATATTTTCCTTGTCTTGCAGGTACTAATATCATGTGGAGTGGTTCCCAATTGATCCCATTAAATTTGGGGTCCAAAATATCTACCAATACTTCCAAAAATGGGAAGATGGGTCCTATTGTTTTATCTTTGTCAAAAATGTCTTTTTGTACTCATCCTAATTTACTTAGAACAAGTCAACTTCCTAAATCACATTATTGATCTCCAATATGTGTAGGCTCGTCCCAATAATTTACTTGATGAATATTATAGAAGGAAAATCCTACTCCCATTATTTAGCTCAATAAGGCCCAAGGTGGGGTTATAGGCATTTGTATTCTTCCTTAATCATTCAATCACTTATTTGACATTTGTCATACGTATTATTGGGCTCTTTTATTTATTAATAAGTCCCGAATAAGTATTTGCGAAACCCGACACTAGTGTACGAGTTTGAACAGTACGATATTCAACCATGCACTACGTAGAACATTAATCGTTTTACAAATTGTTCGGGAATAAAAAATCCAATACATAAACTTTGAATATCTAAATCAAATCTCCAAGGACATTCGGGTGCGGTGTCACACAAGGAGAGTATGAGCCCAAGACCACATGTGAAATTGGATTAGGGAAATCATTCGTTGGGAAAAAAATAAATGGTGGAGAAGAAAACTTGTCTGAGTGAGGTTTGTAGATCTGGAATGGGAATGAGGAAGATGCCCATAAAATATTTCCAAACTTCATTGAATAGGAACAACAGAAGAGACAGTGATCCATATATGCAGATGCCTTTCGACAGAAAGGACATTGGGAAGGTAGAAGAGTTTGAAATTTACTTAGATTGTTGGGAAATGGTAGTATATGGAAAACCTTCCAGGTGAATAACTTTATGGAGGGAGTCTGCCTGGGATGCCACACATTAGAGAAGGAAAAGGTAGAGCCTTTATTATCTCGAAGGCCCTCATATGCAGACGCTAAAGAGAACGATCTGTAAGAAGTTAGGGCCCACCAAATACCACCATCAGCCTCATCCTTGGAAAATTCCAAACATTGATTATGAACACTGCAGATCGGTCGCCATACAGGAGAATCTGGAAGTTTAGGATTCATATTATTGCCTCTCGGGTATCTACAATGCATGAATTGTGACCAGAAGGTGTTCTTGTTTTTCCAATTCCACCATAGCTTGCAAGAATAAGCTTCCTCGAGCGTAGCAAGAGACCTAATATTAAGCCCACCTTTTGCATACGGAAAGCAAATGAGTTTCCAAGCCTTCCAATGAAATCTTTTCGTTTTAGGAGAGCAACCCCAGAAAAAAGATGTCAGTTTCTTTTCTATGATAGTAATAACCCGTTTAGGAAGGGGTCCGCTGCTTTGTAGGATTCTTCCACCTTCTTTCTTGGAAGTTGCCAAGAGGCATCTCACACCTTCTTGGAAGGAGGTCTCCAACATATGAACATGGTGAAGATATGGAGATAACTAGGAAGCTTGGATGCAACTTCCTCTTGTCTCCAACCTAACCTATAAATAGAGTGTTCTATTGTTATTCATATCATCAGTTTAGAAAGTGAGAAAAGTGTGTGAAGAGTGAAATACACTTAGAGTAGAAGTGTATTGGTGAGGATTGATTTTTTGTAATAGTTGAGTGTGAGAGTTTGCTCCTCCTATTGTAATTCTGTTCTTGATATTGAATAGAAGAATTTTCCAATCCTAACAATAATATGCAAGGGGAGAGAACCCAAAACATGACGGATGAGAGTAAGTCTTCCACTTTGTGATAAGGTTTTGAGGCTCCAGGGAGCAAGTTTGTTTTCAAAGGAAGAGATAAGATCTTTGCAGAATTTCCATCTATTTATATACCTTTATGAATCCAAACACCCAAATATTTAAAAGGTAAGCAAGAACTATTCATATGAAGGATTGATTCCATCATACTCTTACGATGAAGAGTAACCAAATCGCTAGTTACAAATAGAGAGAGAGTATGGTGAGATTCCAAATAGAATTCTATTTCCCGCGCACATAGAACTCTTAAGTTGCATTAAATATAATGGAAAATCAATACATGACTGATTCAGTGTTGAACGTTATGAAAGATTTAAATGATTTTGTGAAATATGATACATATTATCTCCGTCCCACTAACATTGTAGGATAAGCAGGTGATGCGGTTATTAAGATAGACAATTAACAAGTTTTTTAAACAAGCAATATTTAATTTTGGGAAAAGTACAGAAAAGGCACCTGTGGTTTGGACCGTTTTCAGATAGGGGCACATGTTTTATTTTTTACTCCCTCCGTCCCAAAATTATCTTCATAGTTACTATTCACATGGTCAACTCAAATTACTCTTAATCTTTTACTTTATATATCAAATTTTTATCAAACTTAAAATTTCTTGATCAGGCTTTGTAGCGGTTTTAATGTAGTTTCTGAATATGTAAATTTTATTTACTAAAAATAATCCGAGTGTGAACAGGGGTCGAGTTGCTTTATCGTCGGTCAAGCATCGTAAACCGAACTATGAAGATAAATATGGGACGGAGGTAGTAACAAATTGGGGCATGTGGTTCAATTCCGTTATCACAGCTGGGGCATGGCGTCTAACGTCGTCAGAAAAATCAACTCCGATTTTCAAAAGTCTCCAAAAAATTAAAAGAAAAATACTAAGAGGTGCGCCTCGTCAAGAAGACCTCCAGACCATCTTTCTTTTTTGTTTGCAGCCACCCGGTCGCCAGAAAGTCCACGGGAAAAGTGATATTAGTGAATTCCTTTTAAAAAAATAATCCAAATTGAGCCGAAACAATCAAAGAGAACGATAGTTTGTTGATCTCCTTGACGAGGCGCACCTCTTAGTATTTTTCTTTTAATTTTTCGGAGAGTTTTGAAAATCGGAGTTAATTTTTCTGACGGCATTAGACGTCATGCCCCAACTGTGATAACGGAATTGAACCACATATCTCAATTTGTTAAAAAAATGAAACACGTGCCCCTATCTGAAAACGGCCCAAACCACAGGTACCTTTTTTTTACTTTTCCCTTTAATTTTTTAAACAAGCGTAGCCAGTTTTATTTATTTTGAAACTCACGTAGCCAATATTTTGCTTATTTAGCTAGTTTTATAAAAAAGCAATGTTCCCTTCTCTAATTATTTGTAAGTGTTGCATTTATCCATCGTTGTGAGTGTTGACCAAGTAAGAATCACAAAATTCTAAAAGAAGATCATTGCTAATTAAGATAGAAATCGCCCCTGGATCAAAACTCAATAAATTATTTCTTTTGCTTTGAATAAGATCAGAACTGAATATAATGTTATCAAATTATAATGTATCTTACTAATCTCCTATACATATAGGGAGGGTTTGTTTTCCCAGTGGCGGAGCTAGAAATCTATGGTTAAGGGGGGCGGTTCTTAAAAATTTTACATTGTTGGGGCCAAAGTTTAAAATATCAACATGTTTTCTATAGATTAAAAGTATTTACACATAATATATACTTAAGAATTTTTTTATTGCAGGGATTTGTGTGTTTTCCCGATTTTTACTCGTTGAGGCTTAATTAATGTTTCTTGAAGGAAAAGGAGCTGAGGCGGCTAATTAAATGGATTTCAAACTCATCGAATGTATTTGTATGGGTTTTAAGAGGTTTAGTATGGGTTTTAAAAGGGTTTTCTCAAGACTTATTATTTTAATTCCTTGCCGCCCAAGCTACGAGTATCTTAGCTTGTTTCCTATTCATGCATTTTCCTTGTACTAGTATTAAATTTCCACCTCCGATCCCTTTGCTATATTACTTCGGACTAGGGGAAATATTTCTATATATATACTCGTATATAGTGTGCATTATCATGCCTAATATTATTTCGGTCGTCACGTACATATTTTGTACCCTACGTACTTCTTGATCAATGATCAGATGATGAGTAGTACTTGTGATAACTTGTATATTAGCAATGAAATGCTTTTTGAGATTCTGACTCGGTCAGCTCTCACAACCGTAGATACATGCAAGACTGTTAGCAAGGAGGTGAAGGATCTCATTGACCATTCATGGTTCTTGCAAAACTACTGCCACAAAACCAACAATGGCGTCTTCGGTACTTCGTTCAAACAATCAAGGACCATCGCCACGTATCCACTTTCGTGTCTGTCGACCCGTCGGTAAATCCGAATATTTCTCTTGATTCCTTGAAAGACGACCTACGGATCTCGGCGTCTTCTAATTATGGACTAGCTTTTGTGTTGGAGCCTGGAGGAGGTACGACCGTGATGTTAAGTCGTACCTCTATTATGTTTGCAAGCCTTGTGCTGGGCAAATAGTGTTGCTGCCTAGTCCCACCAAGAAGGTAGGGCAACATATTGAGCAAGTTGCTTTGATCGTCCTTAAATCAAATCCGTTGCATTACAAAGTTGTCAGATTCTCACCTTATCGTCGATCGTAAGTTATCCTCTCTTGTTACGTACTGAATTGTTGTACTTTTGTTATTCCCATATTAATAAACTGTTTATATTCATTATTCTTTCCTGTCATTTTAATTTGACAATGCTAGCTATTGAGAGGCTTACTCATTCTGTCCCAAAATGATGTCTTGTTTCCCCTTTTCGGTAAAGAACTAAAAGTGGATTATCATTTATACCTCTCCTGTTTAATGAACAGTAAAAGTAAACGCATGAACAATGCAATAAAGTAATGTTTTTTAGTCTTTTTACTACACTTTCTTAATCTTTGTGTCCAAAAGAAACAAGACCATCAAATTGGGAAGGAGGGAGTATCTTTTAGAAAGGTAAAAAATAGGAAACGTTCTTCTGAAAATAATTCTTTAATGATCTAAAAAAATATAGGGTAGCTTCTGAAAATAATTT